TTTGTTTATATATTTACTTATTTTCCATTTCTCAATATATTTTGCTAGATTCTATCAGTTAAGACTATTATTATTCAAATTTATGTGCCAACACTCAAGTCAAAGACAAAGAAATTGAAGATTTTTACTGACTTCTTCAGTGTGAAATAGACTGAACATGCAATCAATTGCATTGATAATTACTGTTGATTGGAATGTGAAACCTGGGAAAAAAAGAAGCAACAGTAGTTGGAAAATATGGCCTTGGTGACAGAAATGATGATAGAAGTTTGCAAGGCCAAAAACTTACTTGTTGCAAATAACTTTTTTTCCATAGCATAAATGATGTCTATACATGTGGACCTCACCAGATAGAATCTCAAAATACTCACTGCCCTTGAATTGGATCCAACTCATAGCGACCCCTCCTTGGGTTTCCAAGGTGATATCACTACGGAAGTAGATTGCCCAATATTCCTTCCAAGGAGTGGCAGGTGGGTTTGAACCGGCAGCCTTCTGGTTAGCAGTCAAATGCCCTAGGCACTACACTACCAGATAGAATACATAGGAATAAAATTGACTACATCAGGGAAAAAGATGATGAAGCAGCTCAATATCACCAGTCAGAACAAGGTCAGGGGCTGACTGTAGAACAGAAAATCAGTTGCTCATACACATATTTAAATAGAAAACAACTAACACAAGTCCATGAGAGTCAAAATACGATCTTGATTACATCACACCTGAATTCAGAGACCATCTGAAGAATAGATTTGACACACTGAACACCAATGGCCAAAGACCAGATGAGTTGTGGAAGGACATCATACAGGAATAAGGCAAAAGGTCATTAAAAAGATAAGAAAGGAAGAAAAGACCAAAATGAATGTCAGAGGAGACTGACACTTGCTCTGGAATGGAGAGTAACTAAAATGAAAGGAAGAGATGTTGAAATAAAAGAGCTGAACAGAAGATTTTAAAGGGCTGCTTGAGAACACAAAGTAAAAACTACAAAGAAATGTGCAAAGAGTTAGAAATTCAGAGGGGAAGAACATGCTCAGCATTTCTCAAACTGAAAGAACTGAAAAAAAATTCAAGCCATGAGTTGCAATACTGAAGGATTCTCCAGGCAAAATATAAAATGATGCAGGAAGCATCAAAAGAAGATGGAAGGAATAAAGAAAGTCATTACCAAAAAGAATTGGCCAACGTTCAGCCATTTCAGGAGGTAGTATATGATCAAGAACTACAGCATTGAAGGAAGATGTCCAAGCTGGACTGAAGGAATTAGTGACAAACAAGCTGTAGGAATTGACAGAATGCCCATTGAGATGTTTCAACAAATGGATGCAGTGCTGGAGGTGCTCACTTGTTTATGCCACTTGTTTATAGCCAACCAACTGGAAGAGATCCATATTTGTGCCCATTCCAAAGACAGGTGATCCAAAAGAATGTGGAAATTATTGAACAATATCATTAATATCACATGCAAGTAAAATTTTGCTGAAAATAATTTAAAAACATGTACAGTAGTAGTACATAGACAGGGAAGTGACAGATTTTCAAGCTGGATTCAGAAGAGGGTGTGGTATTATCTTAGTAGGGATAATATTGTTGATGTTAGATGGATCTTGGCTGATAGCAAGGAATACCAGAAAGATGTTTACTTGTGTTTTATTGACTACACAAAGGTATTTGACTGTGTGGATCATAACAGATTATGATCTGTTATAAATTTTAGATACAACCATTAATTGACATTAAGATCATGGGTAAAAATAAATTCCCAACACCAGGCCTGGAGATGGTTAAGTGTTTACATGGAATTACATGGACTGTGTCTTTGGGATTATTGCATGCAGCTATCATCCCCACCTTGTGAATAGGATGGTTACCGCTGTACAGATGTGAAAATGGAGCCTCAGGGCGTAAGGTGGGTTTTGTGGCAGTCCCTGAGGTGGGGGAGGCACAGGAGTGACTAGGTAAATACCCATGCTGCCTTATGAGCTATTTGGGTGGGTGGCCCACAGAGGTCAAAGATCACATCATTGACTCCACCACCGCATGCCTATGTAACCTGCCAGGACCTGGGCAGTATCACAGACCTTGCAGAGCACATGGTCATGGTGACCAAGGCCCCTCCAGAGACCCAATTCTAAGCCATGGACTCCTGGGAGAACTTTCAGATCTACCTCAAGGGCAAACAAATCCCCATCTACATTTTCTTGTGCCCTGAGGAAAACTTGAGTGGGATCAGCCCCAGAAAGACTCCAACCCAGGTGGCAGTGTCTCCAGGGGAAGAGGACAGGGTGGCTGTCTCTGCCACCACAATAGCACCACTATCACCTCCCTCAATTCTTGACACGGATCCTGGCTAGTCTCTGCTCAGACCTGGAGCAACAACCACTAGTGTCCTAGAGGGGCAGCCTGCAGGCCTCTGTGGATAAGGGCCGCCTATCCCCGCCGGTCCTAGAGCATGGGTGGGAGGACTTCTCTGGCCTCCTCCCTGAGGAGTTCATCAGCATGTCCCCTCCATTATGAAATCCTTGACTATCACAGGCCTCTAGGGCAAGGCCATCAGAGACCTCTTTGTGACTTTGGGGACCTTACCCTCTCAGGTTTCTGATGGGGCTTAGAGGCACCAGGGCCTCCCAAGGTGCCCACTCTGTCTCTGAAGCTCTGGAGCCCTCTGGCCATCCTCCCAGACTGATTGGAAACATTTTAGTTATATCACCTTCCCCTATCTCCATAGCTCTGATAGTGCAGTGATTAAAGCACTGCCAAATGAAAGGTCAGCGGTTTGAACCCACCAGCTGCTCTGCAGGAGAAATATGTGGCAGGCTGCTTCCTGAAAGTTTTATAGCCTTGGAAACTCCATGGGGCAGTTCTACTCTATCCTACAGGGTCTTTATGAGTTGGAATTGACTTGACAGCAGTGGGTTTGGTCTTTTGGTTTGGAAAGTATCCTCAGTGCTTGGAATAGTGCTCAGCACATGGAACACGATCAAAGTATTTTTGAATGAGTGAAAGGAAGGAATAAAGGAAAGAGAGAAGAAAAGAGGGAAAGGAAGTCAGTTTTCAGAACATACATGAAAGTTACCTGGACATTGTTAAGTATTATTTACATTGCTAAAAAGCCATAACTAGCATTTGATGCATTAATTATGCCAGAATGATCTTTGAAAAATCATTTAGATCATGTTATTGCTTACCTTCTTAAGACCTCCCTATAGATTTTCTCACTACTTACAATAAATGTCCATCTCCTTTTAGGCTTGCAAAGCTCTATGTCATCTGACGACCTCATTTATAACCACTCTCCTGTTCCCTACCACGTCCAGCCACTCTGGTCTTCTTGTGTTTCCTTAAACATGCCATGTTTGTTTCTGCCTTGGAACTTTTGTGCTAGCTCCTTCCTTTGCCAGAAATTTCTTCGGTGAAATCTGCATGGTGGCTCCTTATTGTCACTGGCTCTTGACTTAAATGTCACCTTCTCAGAGAAGCCTTCCCTGTTAACACCCAATCTAAAACAGCCTTCAGTGATCCCCGGTCACAGTACTCCAGTATCTATCTATCCCTACACCACTAGTTTCTTCCCCAGAACCTGATGTTCAGTATATATTTGTTTCTGTGTGACATTGTTTGTGTTTAATGCATACATTTCATAGATGCTTTTCTAATTATTGAGAAGCTCTGGTGACATAGTGGGTAAGCCTTTTGGCTGCTAACCAGGTGAGCGATTCAAACCCATCAGGTGCTCTGTGGGAGGAAGATGAGACACTCTACTTCCCTAAAGATTTACAAGCTTAGAAACCCAATTGTGGGGGGTCGCTATGAGTCAGAATCAACTTGACTCAAAGCCAGTGGGTTTGGTCTTTTTTTTTTCTTTTAGTTTTTAGTTTGTTTGGTCTCCAGAAATTTTTGAGTTTCACAAAAAACAAAAAACAAGTAGCAAAAAACCTTATGGCTCCAAACTGAAAACTCCCTTCCTACTCCTCTAGACACTAGTTCCATTTTGGGTTTTATTTATTTACTGTAAAGCCAAAGGCAGAAGTGATGGTAGAGGAAGAAAGAGCCCTGGATCAGGGCACAAGGATAAGTTCTAGGGCTGTCTCTACATCCTCCCATCTCCCTCCACCCACCATGAGCTGTCTTTCTCAAACTCTCTGTTAAATGAGGCAAAACAGGATTATCTCAAAGAGGAATGCTAGCTCTGACTTCTGTGAGTTGTTAGGAGTCTAACCTTTCATCATGATCACGACATCTGTGAAGAACGATAACACTTTCTCATCTGATAAGCCTAGCTTTTCTGGCTAAGTAGGATTTCTCTGATTGGCCAATAATATCACCGGCCAAACCCAGCACACTCCCTCTCTCTTTTTTTTTGTTTCCCACCCCCATTCTGCTTTAGCCTTCGTGTTCCTAGAGAAGGGGGTGCTCTGGGAAAAGCCCCTCTTTGTCACATGGGGATCAGCATCTCACTGTAAGTGTACTTTAGCTACTCCCTAAGACATGGGTTCCTACTGTATCTGGTCTTGGCTAATGCTCCCTCATCTGCTTTCAACATGTAGCATTTGATATTAACTAATGTCTCCTATTAGCATTAAAATAAAACAATCTGGAAAAATTCACTCTCAAGCAGAGTTCAAACAAGCCACAAGTAGAAGTGGAATCTCAACTGCACAAGGTTTCTTAAAAATAATAACAATAAATAAATACACCAGACATATTATATATAAAGGAATATATGTGTATTATATGTGCATTTGTACATGTATATGTGGGTGTATAGATAGATATATGTGTATATGTGTATAGATACATGTATGTTTCTGTGTATGTGGTGAAGCCAAAAGTCTGTGAAATGGGTCAAGGCAGTAAAAGCTGAGAAATGCTTCTGTCTGATTTATGCAATTAACTGGTAACAGGAAGAGGAGAAAATTCTCCCAGTGTGGGAACAAGGCATGATCAAAAGTACTGAATAACATAAAAAGAGTTCGGGATCTTTATCTCACACTTACTGGTAATGGGTTAAAATTCTGGTCCACAAGGTGATTGTATCCATGGTCAAAAAATGAATGCCGTATCACCACATCAATGCCCCGATTGGCCAGCATTCCTAAAGTGTTCAACCATCTAAACAGCAGGAAAGAAAAGTTATGTCAATACATTTTTAAAACGGCTTATCACAAGCTCTGTAGAGAGTAGCTAAGACATACATACACTCTATCCCTACCAATAAATTACCTGTTACTTTAAATTAAAGGAGAAGATTATTTTAAGCATTGAATGCATAGCTGGAAGAGATTTTAGAGATTATCAAATCCAACCTCTACATTTTGTAGGAAAAGAAATGGAGCCCCAGAGAAGTAAAATGGTCACAAAATAGCTTGTTGTTAGTGACTTATCTTTTATTCCTCTCATACTAACAAATAAAATGAACACACCTTAGCTACTTGTAAGCCTAACATTATCCTGCGTGGCCACAGGACACATGATCACAGGAGCACACACCAATAAATTTTTTCACTCAAATACCTCCCTTGGACGCTGTCATTGCATATATCCTTTCATATGATTCTAACCCACATACTCCTATGACCTACCTAAGACTGTTCTAGTCACATGCATGCATCCTTCATATATGGCCATCAGCAGCAATGCAACAATTATTTTCCTTGACACTATAATAACTATACAGGAATTCAAGTACATTACCACACTTATATCACACATAATGCAAGCCCTGCCTTGCTCACACAAGGAGCTCTGGTAGTGTAGTGGTTAGGCATTTGGCTGCTAATCAGAAAGTTTGAAACCACCAGCCACTCTGTGGAAGAAAGATTGGTCAGTCTGCTTCTGTAAACATTTACAGCATTAGAAACCTTATAGGGGCCACTATGAATCAGAATCGACTCGATAGCAGTGAATTATTATTATTATTTTGGGCATTGCTCACACACTTACCATATCCCTCACTATGCAAAAGATTCACTTCTTAGGGCATGCTATTTTTCAAAAATGCTCCTTTCTTGGTTCTTCCAACACCCACTGCTAACTTTACCTTCATTATTTACACATTCATTCATGCATTCACTTTTCTTTCTCTATTTGTATTCCTACTTCTGAAATGTAGAGAAAATTCTAATTGTAATAATATATGCATTAGAAATCTACCTGACAGTTACAATCTTCTCAGTATGAAAGATAAGGTATTTCACAATCCTTCCCAAGTATTCGCGTCCAGCCTCATCTGTCACTCCCCTCCCCCTCTTCTTTTACCCTAAACCCCATTCTACATGCTCTAAGTTACATCAAAGCACTCTTGGCTACCAAAATATATCATGTTTACTCATATCTACCTGTGTCTTTATACATGCTTTTCCTTCTCCTTAGACATTTTTATCCTCTTCTCCTCCAACCCACTTCTTTCTATCTGGCAAATGCTGCCTCATCTATTAATCTCTATATCAAGTATCATCTCCTAAACTTTCCACCCCAGTCAAGAGTTAATGCCTTCTTCCTCTTTCTTTCCCCAGAACTCTCTTACAACCCACTTAAAAAAAAAAAAAAAAAAAAAAAAAAAACCTCACTGCTGTTGAGTCGGATCCGACTCATGGCAGCCCCTCCTTGGGTTTCCATGGTGGTATCACTACGGAAGTAGATTGCCCGACCTTTCTTCCGAGGAATGGCTGGTGGGTTTGAACCGCCAGCCTTCTGGTTAGCAGTCAAGTGCCTTAGGCACTACACCACCTGCATGATATCATTTACTTCTCTGCCTTCTGTCCACCCCCATTTGGTTATGAGCTCATCAAGCATAGGCACAATGTCTTAGCCTTGTACCCAAAACACCTGTCACAGTTCCTGGCATACTTTAGGTGTTCAACGTTATTTGTTAAGTTGAAATTGATTTGGGTAAAATTAAGATTCTAGGACTTTTGAGAATTATCAAATATTCTGCACTAAACCAAACTACTAAACTCACTGCCATTGAGTTGATTCTGATTCACAGTGACTGCCATTGGGTTTCCAAGGCCATATATGAAGGCTGTAAGTATTTACAGAAGCAGAATGCTTCATCTTTCTCCCATGGAGTGGCTGGTGGGTTTGAACTACTGACCTTTTGGTTAGCAGCCAAATGCCTTAACCACTACACCACCAGAGCTCCTAATATTTGGCACACTCAGAACAAATTACACAAAATTATGATTTTCCAAATCTGTAACCATATGGTGTGCCAAAACAGTGACTTATAGAAGAATTCTATTCTTTCCTTACTGGAATAAAGAGGAATGTTCATTTTTATATTATGAATAACTTTTTACATATTTTCAAATCTCTTTCACATTTATAATTGCATTTTATTGTCATACAAATGAACCAACAAATATTTACTGACAACTAGAGTTACAAAACAAAACAGAGCAAAGCAAAAACAAGTTTTAAAGCAAAAGGAAAATCTGATACTAATACAGTCAAACCTTTTTGTTTTTCTTTGCCTTTTGGTTCAAATTGGGACATTATGACCCAGAGAATTGAAATTGCTTTTGGAATACCACATGGCTAAGCTACTTCCTTTATTGTTTTCATTAATTTAGCAACCCTGTGAAATCAGGACAACAGATTTAGCTTCTCCTTTAGCCACTGAGGCACAATATTAAATAACTAGTCCAAGCATGTCCATGGTAGAACCATAACATGAATTCTGGCCTGATGCCTCCTAAACCAGTGCTCTTTCCATATCAAAACAGAACAAAGACAAGAGAGTGTATGAATAAACTCAAACCAAACCCTTTGCCATTGAGTCACTTCTGACTCATACCCACCCAGTGTAAAACTGTCCCACAGGACTTCCAAGGCTGCAAATCTGCTGCAAAAGACTTATTTAAAGTGTTAAAGAGCAAAGATATTCTTTAGAGATTAAGATGTGCCTGACAATAGCCATGGTGTTTTCAATAGCCTCATATGTATGTGAAAGCTGGACAATGAATAAACAAACCTAAGAAGAACTGATGCCTTTGAATTATGATGTTGAGGAAGAATATTAAATATAGCATGGACTTCTAGAAGAATGAACAAATCTGTCTTGGAAGAAGTATAGCTGGACTACTCCTTTGAAGCAAGAATGGCCAGACTTTCTCTCTCACACTTTGGTTGTGTCATCAGAAGGGACCATTCCCTGGAGAAGTACATCATGCTTGGTAAAGCAGAGGGTCAGAGAAAAAGAGGAAGGCCCTCAACGAGATGGACTGACACAGTGGCTGCAACAATGGGCTCAAGCACAGCAAGGATTGTGAGGCTGGTGCAGAACCAGGCAATGTTTGTCCTGTTGTACATAGAGTGGCCATGGGTCAAAACTGACTTGACAGCCCCCAACAACACAACAAATCTTTGCAGAAGAAGACTGCCACACCTTTCTCCTTGGAGGGGCTAGTGGGTTCAAACTGCCAATTTTGAGTTAGTAGCTGAGTGCTTAACCACTGCACCAATGAATATGTACCTATACAAAGAAGTATGAAGTATGTATTATTTACCTTTTTAACCTTATGCTTACTGAATAAGTGAAGAAACAAAACAATGGGTAAACATGCAACCACAAATAGTGCTTCTCTGTGGCATGATGAGTCTCTACATCCAGCACATCTGGTGTCAGTACAGGACTATATCTTGGTGTTTTTATATATGAAGAGATTCCATTTATTCACTCATTCTTCATTCATCCATTCACTCGTTCTTCATTCGTTTACTAATAAAGTGTTAATTGACAGGCTTTGTTCTCAATGATGAGGATAGATATAAAAATGCTTGTGTGAGAATGTAAGACATTTGTAAAGCACTAGCTGTATAAACACCTTCAGTCAAAACAAGTCAACGAGCTGACTGTAGAACAGACCATCATTTGCTCATATGTAAGCTCAAGTCGGGTCTGATCGACGGCACGTAACAACAACAACAAGCTCAAGTTGAAGCTGAAGAAAATGAAAACAAGTCCATGAGAATCAAAATATGACCTTGATTATATCCCACCTGAATTTAGAGATAATCTGAGAAAAAATTCTGATGCATTGAGCACCAATGACTGAAAACCAGATGGGTTGTGGGATGATATCAAGAACATCATTCATGAAGAAGAAGAATGGTAATTAAAAAGACAGGAAAGGAAGAAAAGACCAAAATGGATGTCAGAAGATACTCTGAAATTTGCTCTTGATTGGTGAGTAGTTAAAGCAAATGGAAGAAATAATGAGATAAAAGAGCTAAACAGAAGATTTCAGAGGGCAGCTTGAGAAGACAATGTAAAGTATTATAATGAAATGTGCAAAGACCTGGAGTTAGAAAACCAAAAGGGAAGAACATGCTCAACATTTCTCAAGCTTAAAGAACTGAAGAAAAAATTCAAGCCTCGAGTTGCAATATTGAAGAATTCTATGGGGAAAATATTAAATGATGCAGGAAGCATCAAAAGAAGATGGAAGCAAGCCAAACAAAAGACAGGCATATGAGCTTAACATTTGTATTAGGTAGATACAATTCTTGGAGAGATCAATCATGGGAGACTAGAAGGGCTGTGTATGCACAGGGAGACAGCTTGGGGGCAGGAGTGCATGGGAGGGGAGGACACAGGGAAGAGATGGCTATGGGGAGGAAGTGGGAAGAGAGATGTTGCATTGTGGGAGATTGCAGTCAATGTCATGAGACAAAGTGTATGTGAACTGCTGTATGGAAGATGAATTTGCTCATAAACTTTCACCCAAATCACAATAATAATAATAATAATAAGATGGAAGGAATACACAAAGTCACTGTACAAAAAAAGAATTGGTCAATGTTCAACTATTTAAAGACATAGCATATGATCAAGAATCAATAGTCTTGAAAGAAGTCCAAGAAGCACTGAAGGAACTGGTCAAAAGACAAGGCTCCAGGAATTGATGGAATACCCATTGAGATGTTTCAACAAAAAGAGTCAACGCGGGAGGTGCTTACTTATTTATGCCAGGAAATTTGGAAGACAGCTACCTGGGCAACTGACTGTAAGACATCAATATTTGTGCCCAATCCAAAGAAAGGTGATCCAACAGAATGGAGAAATTATTGAACAATATCATTGATATCACACACAAGTCAATTTTTGCTAAAGATAATTCAAAAACAGTTGCAATAGTTTATTGATAGGGAACTTCCAGAAATTCAAGCTGTATTCAGAAGAGGACCTGGACTGAGGGATATCATTGCTGATGTCAGATGGACCTTGGCTGAAAGCCAAGAATACAAGAAATGTGTTTACCTGTGTTTTATTGACTATGTAAAGGCATTCAACTGTGTGGACCATTACAAATTATGGATAACATTGAAACCAAAAAACAAAACCAAACTCACTGCCATTGAGTCAATTCCAACTCATAGTGACCCCTTTGGGTTTCTGAGGCAGTAAATCTTTACAGAAGTAGATTGTCCAGTCTTCCTTCCATGGAGTGGCTGGTGGGTTTGAAATGCCAACCTTCTGATTAGCAGTCAAATGCCTTAGGCACTATGCCACCAGA